GGGGGGCCGGCATTGGCGGTCACGTCCAGGTTCCCCTGCAGGTCTGCGAGGAGCAGAAGTGCGAGGAGGAGGTCTTCCCTCTGGCCATGAACTACCTGGACCGCTTCCTGTCGCTGGAGCCCCTGAAGAAGAGCCGCCTGCAGCTGCTGGGGGCCACCTGCATGTTCGTGGCCTCCAAGATGAAGGAGACCATCCCCCTGACGGCCGAGAAGTTGTGCATCTACACTGACAACTCCATCCGACCCGACGAGCTGCTGGTAACCGCGGACCCCATCGCACTGTCGCCCAGTTAACTGCGGTACCCCGCGCTGGCGGTGGGGAGGCGGGAGTGCAGATGGCAGGAGTCCCAACCCACCTCGGACAGGTCTCCCGCGCCTCCAGGGAACGTCCACACGATGGGGCCTCTGTTGTTGCACACTGAACCCCTCCGCCTCCACCCCTGCGGGGCACCCAGAGTCCCAACTCCCACCACATTTGCGTCCTCAGGTGCCGAAACGTGGGCGGCGCGCGCCCTCTAGCGGCGCGCGGCCTGCACTGCAGATTACAAGTTGCGGGTTCCAGGCGGTGGGAGGCCTTTTTGTCCCCAGCAGTCTCCTTCTCAGTGTGGGACAGAGCCTTTTTACTCTCACCTTTTCTGTTTGGGTCTGGGGTCACACGTTGCCCTGCTCTCTGCACCTCGAACATTTGCAACCTTCCTGCCCCATCCCAAGTCTGCAAACAGAATGTAAGGCCAGGTGCTAGGGCTGCGGGCCCCCCCCCCAGGGAGTAACTTGCCTGTTTTCTGCCCGGCTTTGATCTCTGCTTAACAACAGTAACGTCACACGGACTACTGGGGAGTTTTGTTGAAGTTGCAAAGTCCTGGAGCCTCCAGAGGGCTGTCGGCGCAGTAGCAGTGAGCAGCAGAGTCAGCGCGCTCGGCTAGGGGCAGAAGAGCGCGAGGGAGCGTGGGGCAGCAGGAGCGAGCGCCGAGCGCGGACCGAACCCAGACGCGCAGCCCTTCGCGAGCGGCCCAGGCAGAGCCCCGCCATGGCTCACCAGCTCCTGTGCTGCGAAGTGGAGTCCATCCGCCGCGCGTACCCCGACACCAACCTCCTCAACGACCGAGTGCTGAGGGCCATGCTCAAGGCGGAGGAGACCTGCGCTCCCTCCGTGTCCTACTTCAAGTGTGTGCAGAAGGAGATCCTGCCGTCCATGCGGAAGATCGTGGCCACCTGGATGCTGGAGGTGCGGGGCTTCTCGCTGCTCTCTTAGCACTTTCCTGCAACTTGTTGCTCAAACCCACATTTCCCCCCTCATCTCCCTCCCTTCTCTTCCCCTTCAACTTTGAAGTTTGTCGGGGTGTTGCTAGGAACCCGTCTTTTCAAAATAAATAAGATATTGCGGGTATTTTTGAACAAGGAAGGTGTGGGGGTTGGGGCATTAGAAATTCCCTTTCCTGGTGGGGGACGGTCAGGAAGAGGTGCCTTCGAGGGAAGCCGGTGCCAGGGTGCCCCGTGGGTTGCAAGGGTGCAGGCTGGGCGCCCTTTGTGGCCCCCCGCCTGCGCCCCAGTGCCGCTGCGCCTCTCTGGCTGTGGCTGCCCAGAGCCGCCGGCTCGGGGGGAGGGGGCATAGATTTTATTTTTAAATTGATAACCATGGACACGTATGCAAGGGCCACTCGTGCCAGTATTATGCGCCATCTTTGCTCTTTTATTGCAAAGCAAACGTGTTTATTAATAATTGGGGGCAGGGTGGGGGCGGGGAGTGGCCGGCGGGGCGCAGGGACAGGAGTGAGGGGCCTCGCGGTCAGCGGGAGGGGCGCAGTAATGCTCAGTGACTATTTTGGGGGGACTCGGCTCGGGAGGGGACCCTTTGTTCACGGATCGGGCCCGAGACGCCCCGCGCAGGCAGCCTGGGCTGGAGAGCATGCTGGGCTGAAAGGTCGCGTGGCTCCCGAGACGCCCGGGACTGACCCCCGTCTGCATGAGTCTCTGCTTAAGGGACTTTTCTGGGACGAGCTGGGGGCCCAGGACACATTTTCAGGCCTTCAGCAAACGCCTCAGGAGCCCGAAAGTATTTTTAAATAATTTCTGAAAGTGCAGCGTGGTGCCCTTGCGAGAGGGAAGCAGCGCCCGCGCCGGGGGCAGGGGGGTCCCGGAGTTTGAATTCCTGGAGCTCTCCTCGGAGCCCGCAACCAGCTCCCGACCCCCAGCGTGTGCCAGGGGCCGCCCGAGGAGCGTTTTCAGGGGGGTTTTAGGCACCTAGTTATTTTTTAAATATTTTTAAATATTTTTTGAAAAGATGACGTCTGGGGAAATGCGGCGCGGCGGCCTGAGACGCCACCTTTGTGTCTCGCAGGGCGGCGAGCGCGGCGCCCAGCACGGGGCAGCCGTGGCCCCTCTG